GGAAACCCTACGTCCACCTGCTACTAGCTGTGGCCACCCCATTTTCTTAGAGGTGATCAATCTGTCTTGGACAAGATCTTGTGTGGCAACACCATTCATGTTTGGTACTGCTATCTTACAACTCTTGCAAGCAAATCAACATATACAAGCTTCACCGGGCTATGTGGACTTGTCTTTAGAAGTAGCAGCTCTAATTTATGAGGGAGGAAAGAACAGTTTATTGTAGACCTGGTGTATTGACTTGTAGCAACCTTTGCCAGAATAAGGCTTGGCACTTCCAAGATTTGCTATGTGGAGTTTGGAAAAAAAAAAAAAAAAAAAGGAAACGAGAATGTTGTAATTCATCAGAGATTGCAGTTATCCCTGGTTGTGCAAGTATAAGAGAACTGCTATAAACTAGAAATTACCAGAACTATTATGTTTTGTGGTGCAATCGTTGTCCATTGCTGTGTAGTGTTGCTGCCTTGGCAGACTGGCTGGAGCAGTAACTGCTCTTGCAGTGAAGACAGGAAGGAAGGAGGTAGGGCTGGGCAAGAAGAGGCACGGGAGAGCATAATGATAGTGGGGCAGAATTACAGCATCCCAAGATTTATGGCTGTATGGCTGTTAACGGGATCTAGATCAAGCCACCTATTCCTGGTGAGATTCTGCCCCTAACAAAATTCTCACTTCTTTACTGTACTTGAAATATATCTCAGTAGAGAAGAAAGGCCCAGGTCCTGCAATTAGAAGGTGTCTAATGATCGTTAAGAATAGCAGAGGCTCAGTAAGCAAAGCACATTGCTACCGGTCTCCCAATTTCTTGTGTTAGTGCAGCCCAGGAACAAGGTCACATCTTAAAAATTGGCTTAAAAGACAAAAAGCTTGGCCTGTGTATTTTGTCATAATTTTTTATATTTCTTTAGGACAAGAGGAGCATAATACTGAGGGCAGATACAGTTTTCAGTTGCAAACATACAGCTTGCAGGTGCGGGCACAGTTTAGCCTAAAATAACTAGAGGCAAAAGGAAGAAAAAAGCAGCTTAAAAATGTGATGTCAGCAGGAGAAAATGGGCCCTGTGGGGCACTGGTTTTCTAAAGCCCTGTTCTGTAATCAACACAGCTCATTACTGTAGCCACGCACAATGTTACAAATGGCATTTTGATGAATGCATTTTGTCTTTCCATCACGCTTGCTAGTTAACAATTTTTTCTGCCCAAATTGCTGAACCATGCACATTGTGTCAAAGAAGAGGCAAGCAGCAGATTCCCTTTGTCAGGAGTGGACAGCCTGTGCCAAACCCTCAGTCAGTCATTTTCGACCTTCTTCTATTTAGACCCCTGCAAATTCTCCCGCGGAGGTACAGGACTTTGTATAGATGCCTTCTCCCCCTGCAGTGATAACCATACTGCTTTCCGTTCCCTCTCAGGCTAAAGTGTACTCCTGACTGGAAGGTCTGTAGACCCAATTTTGTAAATCAGTCTCCCAAGTAATTTAATTTTGTGCATTTACAGCTTCACTTCCTTTTTTTTAACCAAAAAAAAAAAAAAAAAAAGAGAGAAAAGTCACTTTCTCATAATAGCTCAGTTCAGTCCCTAAAAATACTGATGTTATTATTGCAAAGTATTGGACAATCCATACAGGAACCAAAGTCAGAGAAGGAAGTGACCGTGTGTCTGAAATTAGCCAGTGAATGGGGTGTGACAACAAATCACATTACAAAGCATATCACATGTTCTGGCTCCCATTTGAATTCACTTTCTTGACATGGGCATAAAGATAGCTGGGCCTCTGCACTTCTTTCCTGTAATTGGTGTTTCTAAATGTCAAGTGGTAATAAAATATTGTAAGCTGGCAGCTACGGCACACACCTTGTTTTGAGGCCAAATGGATTGCTGATGGAGGATGCAGTCCTACTGCACTGTGCCTTTTAGAGATGGAAAGAGTAACGAGCCTTTTTTGTTCCATTCTGACTGTGGGCTTTAGTCATTAGAGTAATAAATTAGAGAAATCAGGAGTTACGACGCTACATAGTTTTTTCATATCTTTCATCTGTTCAGCTGTATTCACAGTTCCCTCCACTGGAAATGGCAGAGGAAAGGCAAAGGGCCCCAACTGCTAACGTCAGAAAACTTCCCAGATATAATTAGTAACAAAGAGGGGTCAAGGAGATGCTCAGATTTCACTTCTGTCTCACTCTTTCCCAAAGAAGGGGGTGAAAATGAGAAATGGAATGGGCTTATAAATGATATCCCAAGGGTGAAGGAAAAAGAGGACTGAAAGAGGACTGAGGGTTTGAATATGTTTTGTTTAATATGTTATTTTATGGTGGTCAAGTGCTGTAGTAGGGTGCCCAGAGAGGTTGTGGAGACTCCATCCTCTTGGTGATACTCAAAACCCAACTGGACACAGCTTGGGGCAACATATTCTGGGTAGCCATGCTGGGGAGAGACATTGGATTAGATGGTCTCCAAAGATCCCTTCCAACCTCAATGACTGTGAGTTTGTGGTTTTATGATTTAGATATTTTCTTCCTTTTTTTTTTTTCTGGAGGGAAGAGTGAGCTGGAAGAACAAAAGAGAAAGGTAACAAATCCATTTTTCAGTCTAATAGTATTAACTTCTATTAACCTATCTAACTGCTGCCAACCTTGTCAATATGAGCGATCCCATTAGCTGGGCTGGATTTTTATGCTCTGATATCAAGGCCAAAGATAAATTTTCTGTACATCCAGGCTACCTCCAAGAAATGGAAAGGCAAGAAATAAGCACTGATGTACCTGCAGGTTCTGCTTCCCCATGGTGCCAGGATTTGACCAAAGTGCACATCTCATCCAGGAGCTATGAAAAACAGTTGGGATGTTTTATGTAGATGTAGGTTATGCATGCATGAGTGAAGAAGCTACAGAAATGCATGTGGGAAGAGGGTTAGTAGCTGTGCTGAACAGCTGCTCATGTTTAAGAGAAAGACAGGACCAAGGTTTTAAATGGAGCCTGCACATAATGCACAGTACAGAAGCATGCATGTGTTTGTAGGGCTCTGTTTTTGGAGTCCTGGGCCCTGGGCTCTTTGGCTAGATCCATGAATGGACACACTACCACATCTATCATTTAAGGCACTTGGATACCCACTGCAATTTTCAGCCTCAAGTTATGCACTCAGAGATGACATCTTGTACTGGGTTTGAGGTGGGGAGGGGACATCGCCAAGGCAGCTGACCTAAACCAGTCAAAGGGATATTCCATACCATATGGTGTCACACACAGCAATAAAAGGTGGAAAAAGAAAGAAGAGGGAGGGGTGGGCTCTTGTGAAAACATCGGTCCTCCTCCCGAACACCAGCTACGTGCGTTGAAGCCCTGCTTCAAGGATGTGGTCAAGCATCGCTCATTTGTGGGAAGTAGAGAGTAATTTCTTTCCTCTGTGCTTCCACATGGCCTTTGCTTTGTTATTGTTGTTTGTTGTTTTTTGTTGTTGTTTGTTTTTTCCCTTTCCCCCTTTTCCTTTCCCCTTTATTTAATTCATTTAATTAATAATAATATTCCCTTAATAATTATTTTTCATTTAATTAAACTATCCTTATCTCAAACCATGAATTGTTTTTTCCCTTTCTTCTTCCCCTCATCTTCAGAACAGGGGGAGTGAGAGAGCAATTGTGGTGGAGTTTAGCTGCCTAGCAAGGCAAAACCACCACAAATCCATAATCAGGCACAGATAAAATAGGCAGACATCTGGGTTGGAGCTGTCTGAGGAACAACGGATGCCCTCCTGTCTCTTTTTATGTGCCCATGCCCTTCCCAGATCTCACACAATACAGCTACCCCTACTCCGCTCTCCCTCTGCTTGTGCTGCTAGATTTATTTTTGCATTTCTGAGGCAATGAATCAGTTTTTCCTGACAGCTGAGAATCCCTGACAGCTCTGGAGGGAGGCTGCATGCAGAAAGGGGTCTGCTGAGCATCTCAGGTGGCTCAGGGAGAACTGCATGTCCAGGGACAGGAGAAGGGAGAAGATTCAATCTGGGACAGGACTATCCCTTTCTGTAGCAGTTAGATCCACTCAAATCAATGTTAAACTTCACCTGTAGATCCATGCTGTTCTCTGTCTGGAAGCACTCAGGGGCTGGAGAAAGCTTTACAAAATGATTTAAGGCTGGACTTAAAGGGCTGAGGCTCCTCTAAGTAGGTTTTAGGCAGTGAACACCTAAGTGCAAGACTGCGACTGAAAAGATATGCTACTTTGCTCCCTAATTCAGAACATGCCCAAACTTCAGACATATTAATTTTTAATTCTGATTTATTTAGATTTATTTCTGATCTATTCATGCTGTTCTGTGATCTGCTACATTCCTGATAGGATGGATGGGCATGGATTTCTCTACCTTGTAGTAGTTTGAGACTCCCACAGCAATGAAAACCCTAAAATGGTGATGGGAGAAGTGCCTCCTTCCTCAGGGAAGTCATCCTTGCCTGAGATGCAGAAAGCTTGATAGTAGGAAGGAATCTGATTTATTTGCTCTCATATAGTGATTCATGGTTTTAAAGCACTATCAAATGCCAAGAGATACTAACCCAACATATGGTCTGAAATTCTGATGGTACACAATACCCATGTCTGAACTGCATGCATTACACAGGACACAGATATAGTGAGGGGAAATAAAATATACATAATAAGGCATTTAAGTTAAAACAGCCTTTGCCACCCTGTATTCTGCTGCTGGGTTGATTTCTCTCCTGGTCAGTAAAGTACCATGGTTCCCCAACGTCAGCCTGACACACCTGGTGACTTCTTCTCTCCATGCTCCCAAATGTAAGGTATTCAAATCAATTTACTAGTTTCTATGTGCTAATAAAATATCACATATATTAGTTCACTCATGACATGTGAATGTGACTGGCAAAGTCCTATCCATATCCACATGTTCCATCAGTTTAGAGTACAGTTAGTCAGAGGAAAGTTGAAAGTGAAGAAAAAGGAACATTTCCAGGCACAGGAGGAAATGGGCAGGGCAAGATGAACACCAGAACAGGCTTAATATGCCCTCCCCTACCCCAAACACACGTATATAAGTAGTGAAAGAGTGATTTCCCCAGCTCCTGAGCTATCACTCATTCGTTGCTTCTCTCTGGGACCTCACACCATCCCTCCAAGATGCTGGCAAAGGTACTGTCTTGTTTCTTTGCACTGTAAGGTGAACTTTTCTGTGTAAGCATTTGTTGTACTCTCACTGTTGATGTTCAGCGTGCATCACGCTGTGGGATATGTGATTCACCCGCTTTCAATGCCCTGTTACTCAAGATACTCTTGATGCTTTAGCACAGAGCTCAGTGAGAATTTATCTGAAATAATGCAAATAATCCCTGGAGGTGTTCAAGGCCAGGCTGGATGGAGCTTTGAGCAACCTGTTCTGGTGGGAGTTGTCCCTGCCCATGGCAGGGGTGTTGGAAGTAGATGACCTTTGAGGTCCCTTGCAACCCAAACCATTCTGTGATTCCGTGATTCTGTGATTGATTCTGTATAGTTCTGGTCACCATTGCCAGGAGAGAGAAATCCAGTTAGAAGAGTGCAAAGAAAAGCCACTAGCATAGTAGGGGTGAGCCTGTACTAAAAAGGAGAGAGCAGCACAGTTCCGTTTATTTAACTTAGCCAAATGAAGGCCAAGAGGAAATACTATTACTGTGTGTGGATATGTGCAAGGGAGTAGAGGAAGGGGAAGGAGGAGAGTAAGTGGGAAGAGATGATTACCAAAGGAACCTTCTAATTGACATATTAACAGCAGCTAATAGCTCCAGTGAAGAAGAAGCAGACTTTGCATAATGGGTCAGTGCTCAATGGGAAAATTAAAAAAAAAAAAAAAAAAAAAAAAAAAAAAAGCAATATAATTCACAGATCAGCAGGAGCCAGGAACAAGGAGTCACTGCTTTTCATAGAGGTGAGACCTTGCCTTGGAGAAAAGCTGGAACTGCAGCTGAGCTGGAGTTCAGTGGGAGCTGGGAGCCTGGAGCAGTGGGTGCAAGGTAACGCTGCCAGGTCCCCTCTCCTGCTGAGCTCCAAGTTCACCAAGGCTTGTGATAATAATCCTGCTTCTCGGGGAGATTAAATCCTGCCTCCTGGAGTGCTAGTGGCTGTGTGGGCCTGAACTGCCACATTCCCACTGACTTCAGTGCAATGAAAAGGTGCTGTGGAAATCCAGGCGCTTTGTGCTTGTGTTTCTTTATATGCATATGCTTCTGTGTGTGTATATATAATAAATAGATAAACATTTATATAAATAAGTATATATATATATATATGTCTTGCAAAGTCACATCACCTGCAGTACTTAGCCTCGAGGACTTCAGAAGGAAGCAGCAGAAATAGAGAACAGATAAGGGCACAAAAGAAAGTAAAACCAAAACATAAATAACCGCATGGCATTTCTGGGAATAAAAAGGGGAAGAAATCAAGCCTTTGTTTTGCTGATGCAATCCGTGCCAACATGCTAAGCAGTAACCCCAGACAGAAAGAAAAAGAAAATAAAAAAAAAAAAAAAAAAGAAGAAGAAAGAAAAAGTTGTGTTTTTTTGTTTTGTTTTGTTTTGTTTTAATAAAGGAAACATCTAATTTATTTATTTTTTCCGTCTCAGACAGTTACAGGAAACTTTGCCAATGTGATTCATGGTTTGAATGCAAACCACCTGACAGATCAAGTCATTCAGAGAAGCAAGCGAATGATTCTGGATACTCTGGGAGTGGGGCTTCTGGGGACCAGCACTGAGGTCTACCACAAAGTGAAACAGTACAGCAAAGTAAGTTTGGCATTCATGGTATACACTAAGGATTGCCTACAGGAAAAGCAAAGGGTAATATAGTCTATAAGGGGAAACTTTGTCATTGCAAAAATATTTGGGTGATGGAAAGAGGAAGGCAATGTTCTTCCCACTGGAGATGGGGAAATTTCATTGCTTGAGTTATGTTAACTCTGGATGAGCAAAGGTCTGTGTAACAGACTATGCTGAGACCCCCACACACACACACACTGCAAGCAGAAAATAGTTTATTAAGAATCCCTTCTTTTCTTTCACCTATGAGATCTTATTAAAAGCACCAGCAAAGCAAACATTACGTGGTGCAGGACTTTCCAACATAAGGGACAGTTAAATGGATGAAAAGTTAGAATTGGGTCCACAAAATAGAACAGTCATCTGAGGTACGTTGGCCATGTTTCTCCTCCAGTCTGGCACTGCTTGTGCTAAAGAAACACTTGACCCCGAGGAGAACCCTTCCCAACACAGGATTGCATCAGTAAGGATGGGATTTAGCTCAGTGTTTTACTGCTAATGCCTGGCTAGTTGGGCTCAGGCTACAGAACACTGTGTGACAATAAGGCTCCTTGCACAGGTAGCCTCCTTTCCAAACTGTGGTGGTTACTCCTTTTTATTTAATTTCATAAAGATCCTTTGTTGCCAAAAAGATCTGCACAGCAAAAGGAGAGGAACAGAGCACAGGGGTACCAGCATCAGGAGGCCACATATCATTTACCATGGTCTACTAAAACATTGAAAGACATAACTTTTACATGGAGATCTTCCCCAACAAGATGACTGCCCTGAGGGAATTGCTCATGAGTGGTGAGAAGGGACACAGATGGCCAGAGGTTTTGTGGAGGTACTGAATGGCCAGGTCCGTGCTGTTCGCCTGCCCCCTGTGATCTATTTGGGTGGAAGGGACCCTTGACAAAGGTCATCGGGAAAATGAGTTTCTTTTCATACTTTCCGATAGAGAGGTATTTCTCCCATGAAAGGGAACAGTTTGGTCTCAAGAGGGTAGGATCTGATCTCAGTTATATCAGAGATACTGCGCACGTTTATCCTTGGTTTCAGGACTTTGAATTAATTGATGTCAATTTGTTCCAGATCTACAGCTCAGATATATCCAGTACCATCTGGGGCCACTTGGATTTCCGACTGCCTCCTCTGTATGCAGCTTTTGTGAATGGAGTGGCTGTAAGAGATGCTCTTTTATTTGCTCTTAAATCACACTAATTGATTCCATTCTCGCTCCAGAGAACAGCGTGCTCCTAAAATCTTAGTTTACTTTAATCTTGTGCCTGAAGCCTGCTACAAAACTTCACTAGTGTCTTTCCCTAATGTGCTTCAACTTTCTTCCAATGAGACCAGGCTCAAGGTGTAATATATATCTGCATCCCTTGCCTTTAATTTGGGATTCAGGGCTGTTTTCAAAGGTCAGAACTCTACAGCTTGTTACTGCCTGGCTACAGCAACTGCATAACAAAGAGATGCTCCAGCTCTCACTGGTATCAGCAGATTTCACTCCAGCTTGCAAAGCATAGTAACAGAAAAACATAGATACAGACATATTTATGTACACATACACACATACAATATATCTCAGAACAATTTAATCTTCAGTCATGCAGTTTGCAAAAGCCAGTTATGGATTTTGGACACATACTTTGTCAGTAACACATGATTGGCTTCCCAGAAGTTTGTCTAAATTCAAATTTAGGCGGAAACCAGGTGAAATCAATAGATGCACCAAGAGGTGGGAGTGAACAAATTTGGCTACTATGCAAAACTAAAGAAAGTGACCATGCATGGAATTGATATACTAAGCCTATCTAAATTCATGTGCCAACAAGACTAGAAGTCTTGTTGGCACATGAATTTAGAAGTGCGCTCTGGGTGTGGGAGAGAAAAGACATCTGTGGATACTCTTAAGCTAAGCAGCTTGTCCCAGTTTTAAGACTGTAGACTTCTCCTGAGCCCAGGAACTCCAGGCAAGCTGGCTCCTCATGCAACATGAGAATGTGCTCAAAATTCAGGCTAAAGTCTGATGTCCATTTGCTGGCTTGTGCTGGTTGCACCAGAAAAGTTATGCTGATATAACTTTGTTAGTGGTGTGGACTTGGGCTGCTATAGCTGTAGTGGGGTAAACCCTAATGCCAGCATCAGCTGCAGCACAGGGGAAGTGGTTTGCTATGTTAACATTTTGTTCTGGGGGAAGTGAAAATGCACCATTCATATAGCGGACCTAAAATTGCTGCCATAATTATACCATAAGTATATCATCTAATTAAAGCCACAAAAACCTATTGTAGAAAAGAAGAATCATTGTCAAACTGTTTTTAGACTGGTGCAACCTGAGGTAGAATTATGAATTAACCTAAGTTAGAATTATTATATATATATTTATTCTAAAGCATGATAAATGCTTTATATTGCATTTCCACTTCTCATAGAGCCATGTTGAGAGTAAAGGACTTAGAAGAAAGACCTTTTCAGTTTTGCTTTCTAAGGAAAAACTAGTTTTTTAGTCTCATTTACAACAGCTACACTATTTTCATTTGACTTAGCCAGTCTTGCCAAGTCCGAGTTTACTGCTGATGACAAATGGAAGCTTCTCTCTCTGTTAGGTGCACTCAATGGATTTTGATGACACGTGGCATCCAGCCACACACCCCTCTGGGGCTGTGCTCCCTGCTGTGATTGCTCTCTCCGAGGCCTTTCCTCAGAAGAAAAAAATCTCAGGTCTTGACCTGCTCTTAGCTTTCAACGTGGGAATCGAGGTGCAAGGCAGGTTGCTACGCTTTTCCAACGAAGCCAGGAATATTCCAAAAAGGTATATAAAAATACTTCAGGTAAAAAGTTAAATGGAAGTGTTAATACACTTACATAGATAGCACTTAATATACAAATGGCATAGTTAATCGTATTTTCTGTTGTTGGTCCAGCAATTTTGGAAAGCTTCAAGGGAATCTTAAACATGAATATACTTGCATGACTCCTTACCATAATTGATTTCTTTTCGAGAACACTGATGAGCTTACAAGAAGACTCTGCTGATCTCTCTATTAATTAAAATCAGCAGCAAAATGGCAACATTTACCAGCACAGGTCAAAAGATCTCAAGAACATATATGACCTTCTCTCTGGCTCACTTGCTCTCAGCAGCCTGGAGTCACCTGTGCTGGGCTCAGAGCAGAGCCCAAGAAGACAGGGTGGGAGAAATGCCCTGGAAGTATGGGATGGACTAGATGTGTCCTTGGTAGCTCCTGTGTTTTCCTTCTACCAGTTTTGCAAACCTGGTTCAGAATAATAAAACTCGCATCCTCCAGTACATATAATTTATAGATGAGGAAAAACTGTGACTCTTTTGCCATTTTCCTGTTCAGTTTACCTTGACTTATGAGCACTTCTAACTTTCCAATTGCTTTCTGGGGAGGCCCTATTACAAGTTTTATTACTCCAGTTTAAATTTTTCATGGGGAAAACAGCAGTTTCTTCCATTAGGACCACACCTGAATTATGAATGTATGTTTCTTTACAGTACTGTCCACCTTGCAACGTAGTAAAGGGAAATTGAAGTTTGTATATATAGTGAATTTGGGTGACTTTCTGAAATGGGGTAACAAAGAGATTTTGTTTTCTCAGGTTTCACCCACCGACTGTGGTTGGTACGATGGGGAGTGCAGCAGCTTGTGCAAAACTGCTGGCTCTTGACCAGGCGAAATGCAAAAACGCCTTGGCTATTGCTGCCTCCTATGCAGGCGCCCCCCTGGCGAATGCAGCAACCCAAACGAAGCCCCTCCACATTGGCAATGCTGCCAAGCACGGACTGGAAGCAGCTTGCTTAGCCTCCCAGGACCTTCAAGGAAACAAACAGATCTTGGACATGGAGTCAGGGATGGGCGCCTTTTACACAGATTACAGCCCACAGTCTCTGCCAACCTTGCAGTCCTACGCCTGGCTGTTGGACCAGCAAGACGTGGCCATCAAGCGCTTCCCTGCTCATCTTGGAACGCACTGGGTGGCTGATGCAGCATCTTCTGCTAGGAGGAAGCTCGTGGAGAGCAGTGACCACGTGCTTCCCCTTGATAAAATTGAGAAAGTCATTGTCAAAGTCCCAGAAGTCAAGTACGTGAACAGGCCCAACCCGAACTCGGAACACGAAGCCCGACACTCCTTCCAGTTCGTGGCCTGCTCTGCTCTGCTGGACGGCAGCATGTCGGTCCAGTCCTTTGCCAGTGAGAACATCCACCGGCCAGCCTTGCGGGAGCTTCTCTGCAAAACTCAGCTAGAGCACCCCGCCGATAACAAACCTAGCTTCGAGAGTCTTTACTGCGAAGTGACTGTCGTGCTTCGGGACGGCAACACGATTAGCGACCGCTGCGACACCTTCTACGGACACTGGAGGAAACCTCTGGAAAAGGAGGACCTGGAGAAAAAATTCCAGTCCAATGCTTCTGAAGTCCTCCCTCCAGAAGCCACAGAAGGCATTATAGAGACTGTGTACAACCTGGAAAAAGTAAAGGACTGCTCCATATTAAGTATGTTTTTATCAGGACAGTCAGCTAGAGCACTTTCAGAGAAACTGCGCTTACTTTGAACTCACAGCTAGATGCTATTCGCCAAGCAAACAAAATTCAGGAAGAGCCCTTAGTGACTCAAGCACTTTTAAATTGGACTTACTAACACAAGAGCCATTGTCAGTCCAATATTCCAGTTTTTGACTAAGTAAGTAATTTAGAAATAACATGCACGGTTCAGTCAGAGAGGCTGAAGATCTGCTGGCACAGTCTCCTTCAATTATCTTTTTATCTCCAGAGGCAGAGCACTGCCTGCGTGCTGCATAAAAGTTTCCCTAGCCTTCTGCCAAAAGAAGTCTGCACGTTCTGCTTCTGCTAAATCACTTCGCAAAGGAAATCCAAATTCTGGAGGAGTATGGGAATGCTATCTCTGTGAGAACCACCACTGTGAGAAGGACAGAAAATAAGTCTCTGTGTATTTCTGTACGTTTAGTTATAACATATCCTTGAAGAGGCCACCTGCTACATCAGAGCTTTGATGTTTGCAGTAAAATAAACACACAAAACAGAGTAGTAGCTCTTGATAGCAAAGCCTGATGTACTGCAGAGTATCAAGACCAGAACGTTCTTCATCATGCTGCTGCACAGCAAGAGGGACAACTCTACACTCCTACTCCACTCCTAGAAGCGTTATTTGCAGCCCCATCTTATGGCTGCTTAATAGTACAGGTTTATTCCTGCTGTACTCCCACTTCAATTAAAAGGTGCTGGCTCAACAGGATATTCACCCCCCACTTCACCCAATAGCAGCCACTGAGACAAGCACAAACTTTTAACAACTGTGCATTTAGGCTGTGGGAGGTTTATTCTTAGTAGGCAAGAAACAGTTTACGGTGAGAGAGGTTGTGGTAATCCTACGTTTTCCAATTGCACAGATCCAGGTGCAATCCTGGTAAGAGATATACTACGCTCTTGTGAAGAACTGCAAGTTTTTAATAAAAAAACTTCTTCTGCCATATTTCAAGTTTATGCTCAAGTCGTTTGCTTCAGAAGATTATCTGTTGTCTTTTTACTTCGATAACCATTCCCACTCAGCACCAATTAGTGATGCCATGTGTAGGAAATTACTGCAGACACTGCAAATCACAGGCTATGAGACATGTAGGTATCAAGACACTTCTTATGCTGCAAGCACCAAGTGACCACAGTGGCAATCTACTCACCTTGGTAACTAATTCTGGGAATCTCCAGTTCCCTTGAAACTCACCACTTCTACTTTGACAGGGCCTTGAAAGATTGTGCTTATAAGAGAGACTAACTTTTGCCCACGTTTGTAAGATCAAAGCAGGTGTTGTTAAGATGTATGAAGTGTACCTACTTTAGGGCATTGAAGTATGTAAAAAAAGAAATAAAAACACAAAATGGAGCTACTTCATTTTAGTAAAAAAATATTTTCATTTATTATACCAATAGTTGTGTATTTTCCACATGCAAGGTATTAATTCGTACTTAAGTACAAAGAACTTAAGTGCTTCATACTCTGACTCTTGTTTTATAAAGTTAATTTACCTAGGGAGTTCTAAAAATTTCTCAGAAATCCAGTAGTTCTGCTTGTTTCAAGACTTGCAGAGAAAAGTTCTTTTCCCTTTTGATTGGAAAGGGAAATTACTCATCTATACTGAAGATATAGACACATCTACAGCTATGTCATCTGTGATTATACCTGGGTAATCCCAAATGTAAATTACAGATAATCATCAGCGAGGTGAGAAAAAAAAATTGGATTAATAATGCAGGCACCCTTTTCATCCAAATATATTCAGTCATGATAAGTAAATAAACTCAACAACTTCAACATATGCTTTCTATTTTGAAGAAGAAACAAAAAGGATAAACATGGCAGTAACTATCTGATGTATTACAGATTAAAAAAAAAAAAAAACACACCAAGAACCGTGAAGTTTAATAGCTGCATTATTTTATTAATACCATCAAAAGAAGCTAAATGGTCGTGCTTTGCTAAATTGAGTTCCTTGCAGAAGTCTGTACGCTCCCAGTCAGGCAAGTTTCAGGACTTCCTCTACCATTGTTCCAATTCCATCAAAGATTTGGTGCAGAGGAGCCTTGCACATGAAAGCACAGGTAGTAACTATTTTATTGGCTTTATCCACGTGGGATTCACTTACATCTTTGCAAATGTGCTTACATCCAAGCTCTGCTATAGCAGATGCTGTTTCAGCATCAGGAAATCTGTAAGTAAAAAATATGGCGATTAACATATAAAGAGATGATACTGCCAATGTTAGCTTGAGTGAGAGAACAAGAACATTAAGTGACAATATTTAAGTGACTTTGTAGTTGATGACAAGGGAGCAAAACAGACTTTCAGTGTCGAATCATCCCTGTAATAACTCATCCAGTATCTCTGAAATGCAGTCACGATGCTTGAAGGTACAACTCTGTTAAACAAGCTCTGAGTATGTTTATAAGATGATACCAAGTGCAGCAATAACTAATCCTCAGCATTTTCTGATATGGCAGCTGAACTTGCAGGCACGTTAGACCCTTTCCAGCACCTCCATATAAGGTCTTCCACTGGGATTCTGCAGCTAATTTAATTTTCTGGGGATAAGGCAGGAACAGGGGGATGGCGGAAATACCTCCCTATTACTGCTGATATGAAATTCCACTCAGAAATCTTATCAGGAGTTGACAGTCCTTGAAGCAGCATTGATTTCTGCCATGGCCTATTCTCACGTTTCCCCTAAATTGGCCCCAATCTACTACCAACAGAAAAATTTCACTAAAAATCTACAAGCAGACAAAACCCCACAGACAGTTTAAGTGGCCACTTAAATTCCTAAGTTTTTGAATCCCAACTGGACAGACACCTATCCTTCATTTGCAACATGAGTCAGTCTTCAGAGGTATTGGGTAAGCAAATTGAGTATGTCAATTAATAGGAGCTAAAATCTGTCACTCAATTACCAGCAATGTAGCAAAAAAATAAAACTTGATACCCTTGGTCACCTGCTTGTTGGCACAACCACGATCCTCTTAAAAATCATTTTGTTTTGCCACTTTCAGGACTGATGGACACTATATCCAATGACTCGTTAGCATCCACGCTGCACAATAAAGCTAGTGCAGGAACCTATGTTGCCTTCAGTGGCTTGCAGAATGATGATTTAGGCAAGAAATAAGGTTGTCTGCATTTTTCGTACTTGTAATGTGTCTGTGGATTTTGACATTATAGGGATGATGTCAATACCACAAACCAATATATTTCTAAATTCAGGGATAAGTTGTTCCAACCGTAGTACATACAAAGTCTCCTGACCTCATGCGTTCAGCCCATCTGCCCTAAGAGCACCACATCTACGAGCATTACCCAAGTGAAACTTTAAAATAAGAGAAAACTACCACTAAGAAGTTACCAAAGGGTTGCTGACACCAGAGACCTCAGATTTTAGCACAGAAGACCGGTCATTTTCTAATCCTAACTTCCACGTAAGTTAACTCCATCTGTTTCCTTCTTACCTTCCATCTACGTTTTTATCTTGGCCGACTGTGACCTCACAACCAGGAAAGACTTTAGCTGCCAGGACGGGCGATATACAGCACAAACCTATGGGCTTTTTAGCTTTGTGGAAAGCTTGGAGTGTGGAGTTCACGTGTTCATTGACAGTGCAGTTCTTGCCATCTACAGCCCAGGAACACAGGTTCTTTGCTACACCAAATCCACCTGAACAAGAAAAAAAAAAAAAAAAAAAAAAAAAAAAAAAAAAAAAACTTAGATGTAAGACTCTGCCAAAAGCCATTAAATTCAGTACTTGAGAGTTTTCCTTTTTACAATATAATCATTGTATACATAGGACTCTTACATTACCTTACTGAAAGATTTCTGCACATGATGGGTTTATAATGTTACAAGTCTAGCTGTGAATTTCTTTATACCAGATACATTAGAGGCAAGAAAGCTTAATGTTTCTCCAATAAGTAACAAATAGAGAAATTGCAAACCTTGCACTCTTTTACTAGTCACTGGAAAAGCTGCACCACCTGATACACACCCCCCTCAATAGGCAAGAGGGAGATTAAAGGAAAGACCAATAATGCTTAAAAGTAGAAGAGTGCAGTTCAAAGGAGTAATGCAAACAGTGGTTTGCCCCTCTACAGTAATTTAGTTCACAAGTTTTAGTTCAATACTTAGCTATGGAAGAGCCCCCCAGTCCAAATTCCACCTGGAGTTAAAAAATAAAATAAAATAAAAACAAAACAGATAACACCTAAAAAGGAGTTGGTAACATACGATATTCTGAGACATACCACATGCAAATTATAATACACTTAATTTATCTGTCTAGAAGTTGGTTCCAACAATCCTTTAATTGCATTTAATCTTCATATAATTGTGCAGATTACATTTTGCAACACTCATTTGCTGGATTTAGAACTGTCAGAATTATCAAAGGTTATTATTAAGTGTAAAATCCATTATATTTAATTATTTATACATAATAACAACAGTATTAAAATAAACAATTTTCCAGAAGAATTTCAAGGGACAACATCAAGAAGTTCTGTATTTTTAATATTTTTTGCTTTCACTCAATCCCTTTTGTTTGCTGTTATCTGGAATCTCTGAGGTAAGGTTTTAATTTTCAAACTTAATATAATTTATTTCCTTGTAACAGTTATTACTGCAGCTCCCCTGAGCTCGGGTTATAATAGAGCATGAAATTAACATGGAAAATATTTGCTAGCCACTACTCCCAGATCAGCCCTGTTGTCACTGATTCACGAAAGCTCTGGCAGTGGATTTCCCAGCGTTATACACATGCTCCCTCTGCTGGCCTTACAACAGATGACAGTATAACAATTTCAAAGTCAATACTTAGGCACAGCTGTGAAGACAATATTTAACAAAGTTATGAATATTCTGGAAAGTAATCTTGAGCTAGTTACAATTTTCTCATTACATTTTAGTTTCTTCATTTCTGAAGTGACTGCAATTAGCTCTATCTGAAAGGCAGCATCGTGGCCTATAAATAAAGAATTAGCCACAAACTTAGTGTAACTTGATTAGCAGAAGACCAGATACACAATTAAAACAAGATGCGGCCACATCTGACATTGAGCATGTTGGCAACCTGCTATTCTGCCAATAATTTCAGAGGCCCTAAAATTAAGGCACTACCACACATCACATTCGGGCCTTACTTTTCAACTCTAGTCTGTGTTCTTGTCCACAAATAGGTACTTAAAAGCTTATCAATCTTTAGAAGTAAGGAATAGTCTGATGTATAATCCAACGCCAAAACAACACTGGCACTTCAAATTAATGAACTATAAAATAATAAATAAATCAAGATGGCCTGTAAACTCACAAGAGCTTGCTAAAACATTCTCATCCTCAAAATAAAATACAAAAAGAAAAAAACCCTCTCCATTTCAAGAGAATAATTTACTATCTAAATGAATTTAAAAACACAAAAGCATCAGAGACAACGCACTCTTTGCAACTGAATAATCTCAAATTACTCTTTTAAAAGCACCTACCAGGGAAAATAACCGCATCAAATTCACTGACTTTCAGTTCAGCCAAATCCTGAATGTTTCCTCTTGCCAGCCTGGCACTTTCGACTAACACATTCCTCTTCTCATCTGTTGGACTTCCTTTTAGGTGGTTGACTACATCCCTTTGCTCAATATTGGGGGCAAATATCTTTACCTAGAATACAGAAATGAAACAATTTTGTGCATGGAACTATAACTCTTATACACCAGTGACAATGAAGGTCATTTAGTGAAACAAGTTTTTGTTTCTGAAGCCTCTCATCCAAGATGGATTCCGCAGGCCTGATCTATTGCTTTAAATAACTAAAAAAAAAAAAAAAAAAAAAAAATTGGAATGCATTCTTGCACCAACATTACCAATCCTGCCAGGGCCTGCCTTGGCTCTGCAGGTAACTGGAAGGCCAAACAGCACCACAATTTACACCAGCTGCCTGCATGGACAGGCAGCAGAGTCTGCAGAAAGGCTGCTCTTACCTGTCACGGGCTCAGGGTACTAAAACAGATGTGAAAAAATATATATATAGTTTAACAGATAAAAGATCCAAACTTTACAAGCATTTGTAGTACAAATGTTATAATTACTCACTCTCCTAAGACTGGTAGCTGGAAGTAGAAAACAAAACGTGGAACATATTCTGGGTAGGTACAGGGTGTAAAAGCTGAATCAAAAACATAAAGCTTCAGGAAAGGTCTACCCCAGGGGCCAGTATGCTTTGATGACTGCTTTGTAGACTTCTCAATGCTGGCTGCGTTAGTTAGTTTTAAAGAGGATGATTCTGTGCTAAAGGCAGGGCTTTTTTTGTTGTTGTTCACACGGTGGTGGTGTCACTGTCGGACCCCTTAGAGTGACCACTTTGTGTGGTCACCACAGACAGGAACAAAGCACAACACTGCAGCCGGGTCCAAACCTCTCCGAGGAACCCGAGTTACTAAAATAATATTTCGGACAGCTACCACAAAACAAACTGGCAAGCCCACGCGAGCGCTAGAGCCTGACTTCCCCAAAAGCACTCAGAAAGCGGATCAAGTTCGACCCCACCCCATTTAAAGCTCTCCAGAGGGGCTGCCCTGGAGCTTTGCTCCTTGCTCCTGACCCAGGGACGGCTTAGCGGTGCCCCCAGCCCCCATGCCAGGCACCCCTCGCCCCGGCCAGCCCGAGGCGCTGAGGACGAGCCGCGGCGATGGGGCCGCCGCGCTCCTACCTCGGCGCCGCCACGGCTGAGGTGCACCAGCGCTGCCGAGGCTTCGTGAATCTCGCTGCCGTCAAAAACGCCGCAGCCGGCCAGCACCACCGCCACCCGCTTCCCCATGGCAGCTACGGGCCGGGGGAGAGCGGCAGCACCACCCCGAGGCTCAGTCGGGGGCTGGACGAGCCGCGCAGGAGCTCCCGCAGCCCGCCTGCCCTCACAGCGCCCCCCCTGCCTTGAGCCTGTGCTGCGGCTGCCGCCATTTTGTAGCTTCCGCAGCGCCGCCCTGCCCTGGCCGGCCCCTCACCGGGGGACGGCAGGGGTCACACACACAGGGAAATTGGAGTGGATCAGTCCCAACCCAGAGAAATATAAAATATAAACATGTTTTGTTTAGAGTTCAACACACTCATTAACACAGGAGTCCGTGGGTTCAGCTGCAGGAGCAGGAGGGTTCACTAGGTTTGGGCATTGGGGAGCTTAGTCCTGTGAGCTGGAGTCCTCACGCATGGGCTAGGTGAATGCTGATATCTGGAAAGAGTTTTAATTCCAGTGCACATGTGGAGATAAGAGTAGATCCTGAAACCCCTGTGTGCTAGGGTCAGGATTAATGTTAAAGCTAGGGGCCTGAGCACCTTGAGAGCTGGAATTCCCTGTTCTGCTGTCCTGACTTACTGACCAGGCTCCCTGGATAGACCCTGAACCTAAGCTGTAGGAAGTCTCATCTCCAGTATTGCTTCTGGTCCTCCTTCATGGATGACTGATGGATGTCACACTTATATTATAGGTAGCCCTTTTCCCTGGATTGGCTTTGGATCTGATTGGGATGTGATGTCTCTACTGCAGATCCACCATGTTATGTTCCTGTGTCATAGTCCAGCTTCAACTTCCTCATGCTCTGTCTCTTCCCTGTGATCTTATCATGCCCTTCTCTCTCTCTCAGCTCCACGTTCTCATCCCAGCTCATGACATGTTCCTGTCCTGGCTCTGCATCACCTTGAAATAGCCCCATGATGATTCATCTCTGGCTGGGACAACAGCAAATAGCAATAAAAGCACTTCACAAGGGGTCCACCTCTTACACGAGACCTTTTCAAGCTGTGAGAACATACCTTGGTGGGAGAGAAGCTGCTGTCAGGGCCCTGTGTGCAGTGATAGGTCTTAATTACCCTGTCCAGCCTCAGCTGGGGCTCCACCCAGACCTGCTCTGACCATGGGCTCCATGTAAACTTACACTTGGGCATCCAAATGTGACCTGAGCTATGCTGTAGGTATGTATGTGCATCCAGTTCTGTCTCCTGCAGTCCTGACAAGGACTCCTGTGAGCTTATGTTGCAGGTAGCCTTCAGTCTTGTCTTCTGCATGGAACCTGGACACATTATAGGTAGTCCCATCTCCTGGCTGGACACTAAACTTGACTCTGCCTTGCTATTGGTGGATCCAGTCACAAACACATTCCTGTCCCCATTTAGAAATTACAGGACTGTACAGTGGTCACTCAAATCACTGTCCCAGCTTGCACCATGGTTGCCTCTCCTCCTGGCTTGTCCTCCCTTGCAAAGCAGACCTACTTCTGCTGCTCCCTGACATCCCTACAGCTAACAGACCCAGCATAAGCTATTAAAGTTGGCATCTGACTTCAAATAGTCATGTATTTGGAGTGGGAAAGAGTGCCACTGCTCTGCTACGTGGCATCGCTAGGGTGCTAGGGCAGGTTGACAGCTGATGACATTGAAATCTAAACTAGCTGTTCCAAACCACAACTTTTGGCTGCAGCAGCAGGGTTTCTTTTCCCCTTTTCTCTCTGTTCATTCCATCTTGTGTCTCTCACAGGCAGAGAGAGGCGAGAAGATGCTGTTTTGTAATGGGAAAACACAAAGAATCTTCTTGTTTCAGGAAAATGTTTGTCTTTCAATGCTCTGAAAACTAATACAGGGAATTAGAAAAAATTACGAATGCAGTCAACCTCAGAAGTTCAGCTTTGTAGCTAATCTTTTTTTTTTTCCTCAAAGCCTACTACCGGACAAAGGTGGAGATCAGTTCTGTGAGTTGACAAAAGGCACTTTGACATGCTTTTGGATAATTAACTAGACAGCTGCTGACTCATACTGCTGGCATGTGAGCTTTTTAGTTCAGGTATATTTATTCAGAAATTCATTAATCATTTACTTACTATTTTAAAACGTGGTTCACATCATAACATAGCTTGCATGAAAAAACTGCTGCAAAAGTTTCCTATGGGATGCAGTGAAGTGAGATACAAAAAGGCTATTAAAATGAAAATACACATATCAAACAGATTTGCTGTCTTAGTCATTTGGTCCAACACCTTCAGCAACCACAGCAGTGCCTGAATGGATACTTACCAGTCTGCAAAGATGCTGAGCAGATGACCAAGAGCAGGTTCGCACTGTATTTCTAGTTTGGCTAATGAGCAGCTATGGCACCTTCATTATTTCACTTTGCTTCCCTGCATCCTAATTTCATAGAAGGGACAAACTATACTTCTTTTCTTTCAGAAACCACTCCCAGAGCTGCATATCAGAATCTCTAAAAGTCAGAACCACTACTATATTCTGCACAAATACATACCTCTTTGAACAGATGGAAGGGATGGCATCTTGTAAAACATTCAAGCTAGGAAGCAAAAATGAATAATTGCACATTTTATTTTATAAACATAAAAGAGAGAGATTCACTATAAGGCAGACATACAGAATACATGAGATAAAAATTAAATATGGAAGTATATGTATGCAAGGAATTAATATAGTGCTGAGCTAAATTTTAAAGATAGGCAGTAAAAACTCAGGTAACAATGAAGCAAGATACTGAAATGTTGATGAAATTAAAGATTTTAATAGCTCTGTTATCTTAAAAGTTTATGGACACATTAAGTAATTTCAGCATTACCAAGCAGATATCTGGAAGCCTATCCTGCATTTTTATGTAGGATGCGTGTTTTTTCCCTCAAATGTGGTGGGCTGAGCATAGTCTAGCTTAGTGCTGAGGGGAGAACTGATAGCTGTTCTGGAGCTTGCATGAACCAAGCAGTGATATCTCCCAGCACCTCACAGTCAAAAGTCCACAGCAGTTATTTGCCCAGTGGACAGCACTAACCAGCGTTTTCACTGCAGATGCCAACAACCAGACAGCCTCCTGGACTCTGGTGCCAACATACCCTGTTTTAAACTCTAGAGATGTGGAAAAAAAGATATGTTTTCCACACAGATTCTGCTCACAAACCTGTCTTGACCTTATTTCTTAGCCAGAGAAATCCTCATTCAGTCAAGTGACATTTCCTTTAGTCAGTCAGAGATACGACTGACTAAGATATCCCTAAATAATGTTGATATCCCTTTGGTAATGGGACTCTCTTTGGTAACGGGAATATCTCTTTGGTATATTGGGGATATCTCTTTTTTTTTAATGTGGAAAAAAAAAAACTCACAACTGTTTTTTCCCCCAATCCATCCAAATGTAGTGTAGTCAAACCTTTAGTGTCACATACGACGAGATATTAAAGTTTTCCATTAAAATACGATATTACACATTATTTCCTTCCTGATATAGCTTAGCTTCCTTCACAGGTGCATGCAGGCCTATTTCCTAGAAAGGAAATTTGAGGAAATTTAGCACCCTTGGGCTCAGAGGAGTTACACGAGCAGGGCAGGGTTAACGCCGCCCGTCAGCACCGTGTCACATGCGAGGGCCGATTCACCGCGCGCTTTTCCGAAGCACGAGGGGGGGGGGCGGGAGGGAAGAAAATAAATAAAAAAGTAAAACACCCCCACTGCAACTTTCGGCGTTTCTTTTGGTCCCTCCCTCTCGGCCTGGCCCCCTGCCGGCGCTCCCCGCCGCCGGGGCGGTGTCGTGCCCGGCGCGGAGCCCACAGCCAGGCCGGGCCGCCATGAAGGCGGCCGGGCGCTGCCCCGGGCTGCTGCTGCTGCTGCTGCTGCTGGCCATGGGTGCCTGGGGACTGCGCTTCCCGCAGCGGCACTGGCCGGTGCCCTACAGGTGAGGAACGGCCCGAGGGGAGCCCCCGAGGGGGCTGGGGGAGCCGCAGACCCCTCGCTAAGCCCCGCGGGGAGGTGACGGTAGCGGGGGGAAGGCGCCGCAAAATGGGGGAGCCCCACTGAGGGGCGGGCGGCTGAGCGGGGCCGTGCCCCTCTCCCTGCTGCTGCCGGACAGTGGGCGTGAAAATGCTGGTGAGGAGCTCGGGTTTGGCCCTGCAAGGCCTTGCTGCAGTCGGTATCAGCTGGCTGAGCTGGCTCGGCAGCTGCTTTCGTTTTCCTCCCGCTCCCAAAAGCGCCTCCGAGCTCCTCGTGCTGCCGCAAGGGGCATCAGCGCCCCGGGGCCTCGCAGGAGTTCATTATCTGTGTGCTAATCAAGCTAAATTAGGGAAATCCTGCAAATAGGTCCGGGTCTGTTCGATCCTGCTTTCATTTGGTAGGTCCCCTTCCCAGGATTAGGGCCTGGGTGGAGCTGGAAGCCCCATCGGGCTTCCCCGGTCCTGTGGTTTTGTTCTCATTTAGTTTAGGAAGGTAATGCACAGCCTCACCTTTTTAATAACATTGGTACCTGGCTTGTCCTTAGTACTGTGTTTGATATAGTCCACTCACCAGCAAGGAAACAGGTATCGCATATTGGACCTCTAAGCTGAACTTTTCCTTCCAGCAGATGCATTGTTGCTCCCAGAAATGCTTTAAAGATATTCATTTAATTCCCATTTTAGTGAAAAGTTGTGGTGTCAAAATCAGGCCTTTTTTTTTTTTTTTTTAATAGAAATTCACTTCTTATGCCTGTTGATGATAAATGAAAGTTTGTTGTTTACTTCCTAGCAGTTATGTTTTCATCAAGTGGTGTCTCAGGAATTGATCTTCGGGTCACAGATCTTTCAGATTTTCCAGCAAGTTCAATAGTTGCAAAACCTGGTCTCAGGATGATCAAAATCAGAGTACCAACCTGTCGGTCAGTCCGAGACCGGCACTCAGAGATGCGGTATTTGAATGCTTCTGAACTTCCTTGTTCTCCTGTTGTCACATGCAGTGTGCACCGGGAGGGGAAAATGAAAACATAGGGCTTGTAATTTAGAAACAGGGCTTAAATTTATGGATGGCATAAGTCTTTGTTTTCTGTCTGCGTGTTCTTGTTCTAGCCATTTTTTTTTCTGTTTTTTTTTCTATCCAGCACAGACAAAATAAAATTAGAAATGTCAAAATACAGCAGCAAGCGTGGAGAAGTCCACAGGGAAAATCCACAGTGTTTAGACAGAGCAAGTGACCTTAGTTGGCTCAGAAAGTCCAGTGTCATTGAGTCATCTCTTAGCTGGGGGATCTGTCTCACTCAGTGGCACCAGACACAAGTGCCAGGATGTGCTGAAATGATAGTCTGTGTTCCAGACGGGCTGTGTATGCCAATCTACCTTGTTGACAGGGATATAGGAGCCTTACTAGGAGTACTTACTTACTTACTGTAAAATAGATTCCCAGAGCAAACTGGTCAATCCCTGTTTAGACAAACTTAGGAGAAGGTTTTTGAGGCAGATAGATCTCAAGCCATCCTCTAATCAGCATTTATATCTCTTTGATTCTGTGAACATAAGTCACCCTTTGTAATCCACATGATTTCCACATTTTAGCAATCAGCACTGTGTACTGCATGACTTGCGTTTGTAGTGTCTGTAGCCTTAGTCCTGCTTCTGCAGATGCATGCCTCAGCAGCCCCATGAACTTTGTGCACTCTGAGTGTTGCAGCGTCTGGATCACAGAGTCTGCCTTTGGCAGGTGCTGCACACGACCTCTCCGACTCAGGCTCTGGGGAAGTGGCAAAGCAGTTGCTCCAGCCGTGAAGCTGTGCTGATCATCCCGTGTGCTTCTCTTTCCCAATGCAGGCGCTTTGATTACCGTCCAAAAACCGATCCTTACTGCCAGGCTCGCTACACCTTCTGTCCCACTGGCTCTGCTGTTCCGGTTATGAAAGAAGAAGATGTCATTGAAGTGTATCGATTACAGGCTCCAGTATGGGAATTCAAATATGGGGATCTACTTGGACATCTGGTAAGGTGATGTTTCTGATTCTGTGCTGTAGCAAAGCTACAGCAGCAAATTCACCTGAATTGAACAGCAGGTGTCAGGAGCAAGAGCTGTAAGATCGGGATAATCTTGCATGGAAGATCATTGGAGCACACAAACTAGGCTGTCTATAGGGAAGATACCTGAAGAACAGCAAGTTCCAAACAAAATTTGCGGAATTTATCTTAGCTAAAGAAATATGATTAGCACTCTTGATGGGTTTGAATGTGTTCCACCACAGACCTGCATATTGGGAATATTTCATATAAACACATCATAATATTTTGGGTTTATTTCTTCACTAGCACTGACTGCTTCTAGAAAACACACTCACTTGGCCCCTTATGTTGGATGAAATGTCTGCTTAGTGTGCTGAAAACATGGCTGAAAGCATACTTGGGTTATGCTTGCATGAACATGGATATCTGTCAGGGTGGAAAACTAGCTGGTCAGAATGGCAGATCATAGGGAGTTGATTGCTTTTATGGTTCCTTTTTGGATATTATGATTAGTATTGAACCAAAGTCTATTCGTGGAGTCATGCAAATATGAAAGGATCTCAACTTTAACAATGTTTATAGCTGTAACAGTAGTATAAATAAGCTTCAGAGCACGATCCCTAATGACTAAAGTAATGTTAATGAACATGAAATAGCAACATCAAAACAAAGCACACAGAGTCAAAAATGGAAATAGCTTCAAATATCATCATCTTAGTTGTTAAACTAAGACTGAATTTACTGTACAGCTTTTAAAATAAATATTTATCTTACTCCTTTTGTGGCTTTCAGTGCTTTTTGGTAATTTAGTTCTGCTCTGCATTTCTTTGATACCCTTGTGAGTTAAGCATTCAAACGTAAATGTGAGCTTGGATGGTGAGCTCCCGCTGAGTGTGTGCCTCCAGATAAGAGAATATATGGTGGGTAGATAAAAAAGCACTGAGACTGCGTGACTCCAAGTTAGCAGTATGTGCACGATACAATCTTGTGTGTTGTGCATCAACACTACTGAAAACTGAGATGATGCAGGAACTACTTTTCCTTTTCTCACCCTGCTACTCAACAGTTCCCAGGTGTCTGATCTTCTGTGTAGGGCACGCTGATGTCAGCATTATAGGATCATTTTTCTTTATGTTAAAGTTTGTGTTTGTTTATTATTTTTTTTTCCTGTGTTCTCCCTTCATCTTTTTCTTTTCCAGAAAATTATGCATGATGCTGTGGGCTTCAAGAGTGCTTTAACTGGCAAAAACTACACGATGGAGTGGTATGAGCTCTTTCAGCTTGGGAACTGCACATTTCCACATCTCCGGCCTGGCATGGATGCACCGTTCTGGTGTAACCAGGGAGCTGCTTGCTTTTATGAAGGAATAGATGATGCACACTGGAAGGAAAATGGAACTTTGGTTCTTGTGACCACAATATCAGGTATATTTCAGATGCTTTTGGTAGTGCGAGTATCATAAAATATGGTCAACCTTGTCTTCATGTAAAGCATAGAATCATTAAGGTTGGAAAAGCCCTCCAAGATCATCTGGTCCAACCATCACCCTTCTACCAATGTCACCCACTAAACATGTCCCTAAGCACCACTTCCAACCTTTCCCTTAACACCACCAGGGACAGTGACTCCATCACCTCCCTGGGCAACCCGTCCCGGTGCCTGACTGCTCTTTCTGAGAAGAAATGTCTCCTCATTTCCACCCTAAGCAGTATCTTTTCATTTATGTTTTGTAGGTTATTTGCAATGTTAGTGGCTGATGCTACTAATTTCAAACTGAAGTATTCTCTCTGCCCTTCTTTTTAATATAGATGGTGACATTCAAAGGCTGCTGCCTTTTGAACAATGCACACTGAAGAGTTGTTTAATGGGTGTCATTTGGTGTAGCTGTGTAAAAACACTTGAGTCTCCTGACTATAAAAATAGCAAAACAGCTTGTAGAGAACAATTATGGACTCTCTTCACATGCTGTCCTCAAAACAAAGGCCTCCTATTGTGAAGTGGCAGATGACTGCTGAGATAGGAAGAAGTGGTGACAATGTGTGCATTGCTGAGGAAACAATTAAGGAAGGGATATTTAGAAATACACATAACTGTCAAAAATATTCATCTCAATTTCCATCTCCCACATTTTGTGTCATAAAAACTGTACAAATGTCCCTAGTAATAGGACCCTTTGTCGTATGTCATAAAACAAAACCAGATATATACCGCTAAATTTGCAGATGATCACCACAATAACTTCCCGATACATACTGAAAAATGAAATCCTAAAATAAAAAGGTTGTTGGAATAAATCTGGTTGATTACTGTAGTAATGCAGTGACTTGCGAACAAAGCTCCCTGAGGACTTGAGAGCTGTAATTTTGCATGAACAAAACAGTTTACTCTCCCAAATTAGTGCAATAAGTAGTAGAAGGCACACCAAAGTGTGGAATTGCCACAGGTAACACAACGTGGGGCTTTATCTTTGCCTACTTCTACCTTCAGCCGCTTGCTGGACTTGGTCCCTAGGTTCTCTTGTTGGTGCAGATAAGAAATTCTCAGTGGTTCTTGAAGAAATGAAGTAAGCGGAGCTGCTTTCCTCTGAGCTTGTATCTCGTGACTGAAGATATGGACGGATTCTTTGGTATGAATACCAAGTGAAATATTTCAAACAGTTTCTGAATTCATAATGCTCTCTGTCTGTGTGGACTATTCAACACCTGAGAAAGGTGAGGCCACACCAGTGCCTTGTAGAGGCGTTGGTACTGTCCTTCGAGTCTCTCTTGCTTCCTGTTTCCACAAAACTTGTAGGAAGGTGGCAGTTCTGTGTTTTGAATTGTGTGAATTTGACTAGGAAATCTGAATGTTTCCATGGAGGAGAGCGAATGGATGCAAGCACAGATGGGCAGCATCGTGAGCTAAACTCCCTTCCTTCAGGAAGCAGGCAAAAAGCATCTTGTGGGAGAAGACTTTAACACGTGAAACACCTGGACCCTTTTTGCCCTTGTGAGATCCTATTGCACTCTCTGTCAGCAGTGTCAGAGAACACATGGAATCATTTTCATTTCCTTTTAAACAACATAGACCAGGTTTATATTACTTAGGGGTGTGTTTCTTTTGTGAAATTAGGGCAGGAATAGCCAGAGCCTGAGTTTTTGACTGTCTAGGCATCATCCAACAGGTTGTTGCGGAGCTGTGCATAAACCTGTAATATTTTTGTTTGGTTAACGATGTTAAGTCCGTCTTGGTCTTGTTAGGAGAGACAAATCCTGTTCAGTGACGTACATTGCAGAATACCCACTAGGGAGCTAATCTGGTAGGAATTAGAGAAGATAAAGGGAGCTGCAAGCCCATCTACAGTGTACAGTAACTACAGTTCTTGACACAGATTTTAATGACTTGCTGCTTTATTAAAGCGAGTAGCGGGCAATTAAAAAAGAAATTATCCAACACGTTCATTAAACAGAATGATTGTCATGTTCACTGTGAAGCCCCAAAGCTCTTTAAGTGTGCAGCAAAGAGCAAGTTGTAATGGGGGCAGCCTAGGAGGGCAGAGTGCAGAGCTCTTGTTGCTCTGTGGTACCTGCCTGCCTGTGTGCCTTACCTTGGGATAAGCGTGAGATGTGTTCGCCCTCTAATGACGAGCAGACCCAGAAATCTGACCTTCGCAGCCTGTTCAGGGGGATTACGTGTGGTGTGCAGCACCCTTGTGCAGTTGTACCCAGTGCAGTGATTGAGGAAAGAGAGGGATAAGGGCGAGGCTGAAATGCATCGCTAGGAGTATGGGGGGGAAAGGAAGATTCTGCTGAACCAGAAGAGCGTCTCAGTCAGAGCTTACTTAGGCTTCTTTTGTGGAGAGGCATGAAAAATCCTGCGCTGAGTTGCAGAATTTGGATCAAGTTTTAGGAAGGGCAGATACACCTGTTGCACTGGTGAATGCTGTCAACATCTGCTGTAAATAGTAATAGGATAAAATAAAATGTCACGATCCTCAGGAAGTTTGAGTGTCCTGGCACAGTAGCAGGAAGTGGGCCATTAAAAGGAAGGGAAGTTTGAATAACTTGCATGTAAGTTGTTAGATTTTAGCTACATCTTTGCGTTTGTTACCTGGGCTCTGTAATGCTTCCTTTCATCTCTTACAGGAGCCATGTTTAATGAAATGGCAAAATGGGTGAAGTACGACAACGAGACTGGCATCTACTACGAGACCTGGACAGTTCAAGCAAGCCCTGACAAAAAATCCACAGTATGGTTTGACTCTTACGAATGCTCTAAGTTTATACTGAGAACATACCAGAAGCTGGCTGACCTGGGAGCTGTGTTTAACAAGGTACAAACAAATTATACCAGCATCATTCTGTTCAGTGGAGAACCTATCTATTTGGGAAATGAAACATCTATTTTTGGCCCTCAAGGAAACAAGACATTGGCAGCAGCTGTAAGAGACTTCTACTACCCATTCAAACCTCATAAGACAGTCAGAGAGTTTTTTGTGGATCTCTTAAAAATAATCGATCGTGTCATCTTGAATCATGAGTTTTATCTCTTTTACAACTTGGAGTACTGGTTTTTACCTATGAAGTTCCCGTATCTCAAAATAATCTATGAAGAGGTTCCTTTACCTGTTGGCAGCAAAGCTTCTGTTGGTGTGTAATTGCTTACGGAAGAGCCAAGTTTGTCCTTTTGCCAGAATACGCGGAAGGATTTTGGAGTGCTTCTGCGATGGTGTTAAAGTGCTGTACGTCTCAACACTAAATGCAAAAGCTGTTTTACAGCCCCGTGAAGAACATGCCTTTTTTCTTACAAGCTGCCTAAGTCCACAAACGCTTCAGCATCTCTGACTTTGATGGCTCGTTTGCAGCCGTGGACACCAGAGGGTGTGAAACACCAGCGGTGCGAGGAGCTCCTGGTCTGGCCGATCCAGCTGTCTGTGTGCTGGGGCTGAGAAACACGAGTGCCTGGCTCCCTCAGCCGTGCCTTAGATCACTACGTCCGTATTCCTCTGCTCTGTACAACCAGGACCAAAGAACTGTTGGCGGGTTTGTGAAGTGTGGGGGGGGAAGGGGCAGTGAATTTATGATAGGAGGTCCTGGGTGGTATCTTGTTGCCACTTTGCCTCCATCATCTACATTGTAAATACAATACAGCCGGCTCTCCCTGGGATTGGTGTGGCAGTTTTCTAACACAGGTCTGTTAACCTGTCTGTTTTGATGCACAACTGAAATACTGCTTGCAGTAGCAGTGCTGTACCACCAGTGGTGGTGTCCTTGAAGTTGTTCTCCTGGCTGCACCTAGAGCAGCTGGTTCCCCCTTTCCAGACTCCCAGTGTTCCCTTCCCTGTGGTCACTGGGATGCTCACACACAAAAATACACCTGAAGCAGCATAAGCACCTGCATGTGAACAATGGTCACTTCTTTTTCATACCACTTGCTGAATGAGCAGCACTGCTGCAGAGGTTATGACTGTACGGTGGAAGCAAACTGCAGTTTCATTAGCCCTAAGTGGAATTAATGGCCTGCTGCAGCCAAAGAGGGGAGTATACAGTGTGAGTACACTGTGATTTGATTCACATCAGAAGAATAAAAGAACCTTGACCTTGTATTAATTAAAACTAATTAATTTTAGTTCTTTCTATCTAATCTATCATGTAAAGTCACAAGCATCGGAGCTGGCATAAGAAGAATGAGGTCATGAAATTTCACAGGGGAAATCTACCAACAATTCCACTGCTAGGCAAAACTCACTCTACCCCCAACAGTAAAGAACGTACTTTTTGCCACCAAAGCCATGAGCCTGTGCTTTAACAGGCTGGGTTCCAGATTCTTTGCACGATACACACCAAGAAAGTGATCCGGAAGGCAGCAGGGAAGATGAAGGGTGGTAGCAAACGTGTCTACAGAAGGCACGTTCTTGTTGATATGCGTCTTTGTGACTCCGAGCCCCTCGCTGTTGTTCAGCCCACATTTATCACCTCCGGATAAAGCTTCAGCCTCGGAGCCAGAGCATCCCAAGCTCTGTCTGAAAGGGAAATTGGATCAGAAGCCTCCAAAAGCTTTTTCTCTAGTATTTGCTACAAAGCTTGTAGCATCAGTGGAGCCAGAGGGGAGCCCTTAGAGAGCCTGAAGGAGAGGCCATGGTGGGTAAGGTCACGCTTCCCCATGGCATTCCCTACAGAGCCAGGAAGAGGTTCCAGGAAGGACCCATCCCTTTGACCAGCCATCCTGGCTGTGCCCCCCCCAGCTGCAGCTGCACCCCCAGCCTGCTCGCTGGCAGGGCAGTGTGAGAAGCTGCAGAGTCCTTGGCTCTGGGTAAGCGCTGCTCTGCAACAGCTAAAACATCAGTGTGTTACCACCACTATTTTAATCAAGAATCCAAAACACAGCACTGTGTCAGCCTCTACAAAGAAAACTAACTGTCCCAGCCAAAACCATGACTCTGTCCCAACTGCCAGGCTCAAAGATACCCCCCTGGCTCATACACAGCCTGCGTTTCCTGTTCCCTGCGGGACTTCGCAGTGGGAAGAGCAGAGCAAAGGGTTTCTGCCCCCCCTCACCAATCCCACTCCCAGCCATGCTGGAGTTGAGTGAGAGCTGTCGCCTTCAGTCCCATCACTGAGGGTGGGGAAAGCAATGCTGAGGCTCTTCTGGTGCTGAAGACACCACAGCAGAGCCATCAGGTAGGCCTACAGGACTCCCAGCCCAGACTCTGTTACCTTCAGAGACCTCAGCTACAGAATTAGGAAATTAAACTTAATTCTCCTTCCCTCCTATGCCATGTGTCCTCCCACCTTCTCTCACCCCCCTACATTCAGGTCTTTGGTTGGCACTTTAAATATCAGTCCTTAGGGATAAAGTAGCAAAGGGGTATGATACATCTGCCAAAGCTCTTGCCTTAATGGTTTAATTAGGCTGTGAAGTAACTGAATGACTGAAGCCAGGGATCTGTCAATCCAATGACCTGTCAATCCAAATGGTGCAGTTCTTTAACATGTGTTTGATATCCATGAGATCACACAATAGGTGAAGTACAACATCAGGAATCACGAGTATTTCTCCTTATACAACACAAGGTGATAGCTGAGCTTCCTGCGTTCCTTCGCGTTTTGCAAAGAAATGCCAAGAGGATGCAGAAGAGGCCCCCTACTCACCGTTTCAAAGCACAGAGCCACAAGTATCAGATGTAATCCCGTAAGAGAAAGCTAACGAAACAGATGAACAGATCATATTACGGAGCATCTAAGGTTAATTGTGGGTTCACTGTCCTACTTTTGCTTTGAGGAAGCTAACCGTATCTCCAAGGAATTTGTTCCTACAGCGCCAGTATTTTAGGAAAATTAATTCACGTTTTGTAGCCTGAACTACACAGACACTGGAGTTCTGAGCTACTTTAAGATTAAAAAAAAAAATTTAACTTCCTCATTAACACAGTGCTCCAGTTTTTGATAAAGCAGCAGAACTTGTTTTTACAACTCCACATATGACCAGTCAGACATCGAACAGGTCCCTCGGAAGTAAAGTAACAAAGTTCAGGCTTTCATCAGGCTTACTCCAAATATAACCAGCCACAGTTCAATTCTGCTTTAAATTAACAGAAAATGAAGCAAGCTTTTAACATTAACTGGAATAGATATTTTTAGTTTGTATCTATATAGTTAAATGCATTTACGTAATATCACTGAAAGTTTCTTACAAAAAAAGTCCTACAAAGCCCACTGAAATTCACAAGTTTGTGGATTTAGGTAAGTAACATGAAACCACAAAATTGAGGTATGTAGTTGCAGTTACATTCATCACTGCTTCTGTTTCAGTACAATTTAAGCTAGTGTAACTGGTCAGGATTATCTCAGCTGTTTGGCATGAGCAGTTTTCAAGACTGGTTTTGTATCCAAATAATAAAGTCATGTAAAACTCCTGTTCAGAGATACGATTTGTCACCACCCACATTAACAACTCCTACCCAAAAACTGGACAATCAGCCTAACATTGAATTATCTTCTGAAAACTAGAGAAAGATGAATCCAGGAAAGATCATTTTATACAGCTGTAAGACACATCTATGTTTCTAGTGACTGTGATATTCCTGTCACAACTTACATTGTGGATTTTATTTTTTTAAATCATTCATTTAACTATTCCAACATGTAGAAAGCAAAATAAAAATACCATAAGACAAAAGGAGCATTGCAGCTTTTCCTGAGAATACTTAGACTTGCCCAGGAAGTTTGTTTTACAGCTGGATTAGTTGAGCTGAGGATGCTGTAATTTGCAGTTTTTATACATCAAACCAGCCTTAAACCAAAGAGACAGAATATTGCTTCAAGTTTTTTTTTTTTTTTCCTTGAACACTGAGTGTGTCACATCAAAAAGTCCTTCTATGTTGGTACAGAAGTTTATGCAGCAGAACAGACACCTTCTCAGAAAAGGACACCAGTTACCTTGCAGGGGTGAGCAGTTCATTTGCATGTAAAGCTTCCAAACACTGGTACGCTCACTGCCTCAGGATCTGATGGATTTCTCTCCATCAGAAGCAGAAGGCTGGAATTCAAAGATGTGAGTTCCTGGCAGGAGGAAGTTGTGGTATCTGGGTTACCTGTCTCGCTTTTTGTTTTTTCCCCACTACCACAGCAGCAAGCCACAGACCACTCATCACTTACCTTGCCAGCATCAGAACACGAGCAGCCACGGTCCAAAGAGATTTTTGCTGTATTACTAGATAAGAGCACTTCATATGCCAACTTAGTGAAAACACTCCGCTCTTCCCCAGGTTATTAATGTTACTCAACTTCACCACAGAGGCAATTTTGAGAGTTAGAACATAAAGAACACTGAGCTTTGTTTTGGCGTTGTTTTTGTTTTTTTAATGTCACGGGCTATATATATTGACACCTTTTATACAAATAAAAGCAAATTATAGTATTACATTAACAAATTCTAATACAAAAATGTGTATTTCATAAAACATGATTTTTAAATCGCACAGCTCTACAGAAACGTAATTCCCCTATAAAAACATCCAGTCCACTGAGCAGTGCTTGCTCAAAACATAGTTATGAACTTAAATATGCTCGTAAGTGTGTTACCGTTGGACTTTACATTTGGATAAACGTTACTGAAATCAGACATTACAAATCTACTCATTCCCAGAATTAGCTGTACAGCTCAAACAAGGAGAAGCCACCAGCTAAGCTCAGTACAGCTGGAGAAGCTTTGCCTTGCTGACGGCCCATCACACCTTTCAAAATCACATCCGTGAGTCGCATCAATACTTTAGTGTTACCAATCAGTAGTGTAGAGGAACAAATAGCATAACTGTTGGCAGTAAGAAATGAAGTCACAAGCCACACCCAGATCACAGGCTGCATGTTGCTTACACCACTTAAGACTAAAACTTTTTTTAAAAAAAGATTTACCAAATATTTTAAAACAAAAAGATTCATTTACCAAATATTCAAAACAAATTTTTGCCTATTGCTCTACTTCACACCAAGTTTACTGCTTTTAGGTTTTTAAATATGAAATGATTGAACTAGCTGAATTAGAAGGTATACAAAATGATCATCTATCAAACATTCACTTTATACATAAACATTTCTGAAACAGATTTACAGTGTACAATTAATTTATACAGCTTAAGCAATTATTACAATACCGTTATTCCTCAAAGTGAAAGCAACCAATATATCTAGGTTTTAGTTAAAAGGTTCTTGGTCACCAGAGTTTCACCTTTCTCGTCTCACACTGTCGACATCCATGTCACCCCACTAAACACTGCAGCGTCCACTTAATAAACTGTACATCATTCCATCTAAACTTATGCTGCAAAACCGGTTAATGTGCAGGAAGAGCTCATTAACTCCATTGTGTTTTTAAATACAATGTATCTACATTTTTCCCCAGAATGCTTGCGCTTCCTGAGCTAGACATAAAATACCTTAAAACAGGTTTAGACATGAATCTGAGACCCCATAAGCAAACTATATTAAAACGTCTAGAAGAAAAAATGAAAAGCAAACCACTTGTGGTAGCTCTCACTACTGTTTGCTTGCACTCTAAATACATTTTAGATGGATCTAATAGTCTGCTGAGTAAGGTAGCAAATTCAGTATTTTAATTATCTAACTTACAATATTGTGTATTGCTCTTGCTTTTTACAACGCCTACATAAAAGAATGTGTGTATTTCAGGGCCTCCTGAATTTTCCCTATGATCTTAATCCTGTCATCTAGGTAACTGGATTTAGAATTGCCATAGTCTGCAGAGCATGCAATTCACATTGCTTTTAGATCAAATCCAACTGCATTCAATATTAGCATATAAAAAATCAAAGGATGGAATATTGAGACTTAATAGTACACAGGTACATTTCAATGCTTCATTTTTTTTCCATAAAAATTTAAGCCATCGATGAAAAAAATCTGAAACAGATTTTGTTTGAATGAAAAAGGGTTTGAGAGATTTGTGATTTCCATTTTTAAGTCTGGAATTCATAAATAATTTTTAAATGGTAATTTTCCATCAAACAATGCAGTGGCTTACAGTAATAAATCATAGTATTAAGTAAGCTTGCACAGTTAATTGCAACATGATGAGCTTGGGTTTAAGGTGCTATTCCGTCTGCCCTGAAGTCTCTTAAGGACTTTACCATGTGGGCATCATGTCCGGGAACCAGACTCTTCCAAGATGCTTCGAAACTTCCCAGTGGATCTGCTCTAAGCTGTATTTCTGGTCAGGAATCAAAACCTCCTCCATAATTGAAAGCTGAGAGAGACGGCCGCCACACATCTTCACAAACTCGACGAAGGCACTGCAAGAGACTTCACACTCCCCTAGGCCGACAGCCGACAGGTACTTGCACCGCTCGGCAATACGGATCAGCTCCTCATCCAGAGGCCGTAGTCCATTGGCGCACACGACCAGCTCCACCAGCCGCGGGCACGTCATCCCAACGCGGCCAAGCACATCCTTGCTTACCGACCTCCCAAAGTAAAGGTGAGTGACAGGTGTCTCGTAGCGAAAGAACGGGTCGAACTCTTCCTCGTACAAAAAGAAGTACATTACCAAGTTTACTTTAGGAGAATGCTTGATGAAAGCGTCCCAGCTGCTCTTCTGGATGGTGTGGAACTGAGTCTGCCCGGGGTTTTCACTGACAACATCAATGCGCAAGTGTTCCAACCTGACGTGTTTCTCAGAAGACAGAGCGAGCAGCAGCTCATCGCTCAGCAGGTGGTAGTTGAGCGCCAGTTCACGTAAGCCATGACACTGGTCAGCCACACACAGGATACCTGACAAAAGAGAACATCGTTATGCAGGTAAAATATATTAAAAAACGAACAGGAAACATAAGAATTAGTTTCTTTGTGTCACGAGGGTGCAAAGAGCAGGCATTTCTACATGCAATCAAGCCATCATATCAAAATAGAATCATACTGGACAACCGGAACACAAATCTTTTCTCACATGAGTGTTGTAACTTTGTGCATGGAAAGAAAGACATACGCTACAGACTGTATACTTTTCTGTATTTGATTTTTGTGTGTGACAAATCTAAACAGCATACTCCAATCTGCCCTGTCATAAATCCACATATATACAAATTCATTCTTGTAAAGGGGCTTATTCATAGAGTTACTTCCATAGCCTGCTCTGGGACTACTGCTGTCCACGTCTGTAGCTGACCAAGCAGACAAGAATGAAGCTGTCACCTGAGGAATGCAAACTTGCAAAGAATGTTTGCTTTTCATTAAATAGAGAAGTCATTGCTGCTAGAAAGAGCAAACACTGACAAACCGTGCATCTTGAAATTTGGAAAATCTACAGCACAAGAAGGAAAACACTAAGAACTAGGAGCAGTATTCCTAGAACAGTGGTGTTGTTTTTTCCCCAAACTCTCTCCCTTTAATGAATCAATCCAACATGAAAGAAACAGACATTAACAAAAAAGCTTTGATACAGCCTATAAAGTTTCCATTCATCCTATTTGCAGATACAAGAAGTGCATAGACCCCTACATTTCACGTGGCCCAGACAACAGCACAAAATTCAGGATGTGGTCTTTCCATGAATAGAGAAGTGAGGATGCATCATCTAACACGGAACTGAAAAAACTGAGCTCAACCAACTATGGCTGTGAAGCAACAGGAAGAAAAATAACTGTCTTTTTATAGACAGACATGGTTATTAAATTCAAGAAGCCTATATCAAGCCTAAAAAATTTGAAGAAAATTGTAAAAATATTGCATGAATAAATAAAAAGTAGGTATTTTCTGCCTGAGAATTTGCAAGAGTTCCTCCAAGTGCATCAAGTGCTGTCATTTCAAACATAAAAAGATTGATAGATTAATAAAAAATTAGGTAAACAGAATTTTAATTCAACTCCTATTGCAACTCTTTCCTGTAAAAACAGTTGTGGTATGTAAGCATACTCAGGCACGCTGCTTTGTAATAGGCTGGTTTGTTGAAGCTGTTTGAATTATTTCAAGTAGCAGGGTTCACAAGCCTCCTCTCATCACTAGTTTCAGGAAACGACTTGCTACAGATTTAGCATCTAAAAACTCACCCCTTTTACATCCTTTGTAAAGTCATCTGTTAACTTTAAAGGTATGTTATTGACTAGTGCAATCCAAAAAAGGAAGAAGTGGGGTTCAGCTTGCTGTGATCCTTTATGGTCTAGAATTGCACAGCCACATCACGTGCAGGCTATGAAATCTGCCTTCACTGTCAGTTCCACATGCAGGGCACTGCGTAGATGGTTGGCCAGCTGGAGGGCCTGCCTAGAGCCTGTGCTGCAAGTGCTACGTTCCCACAACATCCCAAAGCACTGCCTCAACCTTTACACCACCAAGAAGTAAACTGCTTTGATAGCATACTGCACAGATCTGCATCAAAAACCCTCTGCTGTGCTCCACACTGCTG